GGGACCTGCCTCCTAACCTGTCCCGAATGTTGGCACGTGGGCTGAACGTTGGATCTTTCTCTCCTGTGCACCAAGCTCTGTGCCCAGTAACGAAGAAAGCTGGGGCGTCCGCAGCTGCCCCAGTCTCTGTTGTCCATTGTGGTGTGACAGGAAGTTAGCATCCAGGGCATCTGGTCATTCATTGGCTGTTCTGAAATGAAAAGGGCTCTGGCATCCATAGTGCGGTCCTGGGGCGCACGTGCTCCTGGGACAGCTCCATGGCTCAGCTCCTTTCTGGTGTCCGTCGCTGGGCAAGGAGATGCACCACTCACCTCACAGGCTGCATCACCCTTTGCCCTTTCTCCTCAGGCCTCGGAGGAAGGACTGTGAAGTCTCTCCCTAGGTGGGAACCCTCCAGACTCGCTGGCCTGGCAGTGTGCGCCTGGGGAGTCCAGAATTGGTCTGTTGGGCATGCACCCTTGACATGCAGCCCCTCCTGGCTCCCCGCTGGGATGTACCCAGAGGTATTAACTCCCTCTCCTCCCACATGGTTTCCTTGCAGAGCACCCAGTACTACGACATGCGGTGGTCCTGCGAGCACCTCATCATGGTGTGGATCAACGCCTTCGTCATGCTCACCACACAGCTGTTGCCTCCCAAGTACTGCGACCTGCTGCACAGATCAGCCGCCCACCTGGGCAAGTGGCAGAAGCTGGAGCACGGCTCCTATAGCAATGCCCCGCAGCACATGTGAGTGTGGGAAAGGAAAGGGTGGGGGTGATGGGCTCTGCCCACGGCTGGGCCTTATCCCATGTTGCCATTCTCTGCTGGGCTCCGAGCCAGGCAGCTCTGACATTTTTCTTGTCGGGGGAAGGTCACAGCTCTCCATTCCCCTGCAAATGCAAGGCAGTCTGGCTAGGGCCAGCTCAGTCCAGCCTGAGCACTGCCAGCAGCTTCCTGGCAGGCTTGGCTTTCATCCCCTGCCAGCAGCAAGTGTTCTCCCAGTCACTGGGGCAGAGACTTACTTGGGGAGGCCCAGGGTTTCCCCCTGGACTAATGCATGGCCTGCCTGGCTCTTCTGGTGGAAGCCATTCAGCCCTGGTCACATGAACAGAGCTCTACCTGGTCCTGTTCCTGATTTACAGGCTTTCCCTGGGACCTTGTCCCATGTGCTTCCCTGGAGAGATGGACAATCCCTGCATTTGGCATATGCTTTGAGACTTGGGGAGGTCGTGGACTGGGGGCAGATCTGCCCCCCCACCCTGCCCATCTCTCCCTTATGCTTCTTGGAGCTGCCATCTCTCCT